TTGTGAGCATGGTTTCTCTGATGGTGAACATCTCCTGGCCAAGCAGCCCCCTGCCCCAACCTGTCTGTGCTCCTGAGTTTGCTGGTTCCGCTTTCTCTATCAGTGCTGGTTGTGCAAGAGATCTCTGCTTCTCCTCTGAGCAATTGCACCCCATGCAGCACCCCAAGTACTCCTCATCTTCAGGTCTGTCCCCACCTCAGAAGGTGTCTGTGGTCCCATCTGAGTGCAGAATGGGGGGGTGGTGGCTGCCAGGTCTCACCCTCTGCCATCACATTAGGGCTGATGGAGGTCCTGCCTGACGACTGTGTCCAGGTGGCCAAGAAGGAGCTGATGTACGCTGGCTTCGTGGGGCTCATCATCTACCTCGGTGGTGTCATCTTCATCAACAGGAAGAGCACCACCAGTGCCAAGATGGTGATGGCAGAGGTGGCCAAGACGATGACAGCTGAAAATGTGAGTGTCACAGTGGCACCTGGCAGGGTGACGTGTGTCTGGGCATCCTGGGGTGGCATGGGCGGGATGTGGCACTCCTGGTGCTGACTCGCCTGGAGTTACAGCCAACTGCAGCCCTTGGCAAGGCTGGCTGGTGGCTCTGCCAGCAGGAAGGGAGCACTGCAAGTGGATTGCTGGAGCAGAACCTTATCTTCCTATGTGCAGGTGAAGGTGTGGGTGTACCCAGAGGGCACGAGGAACTGCACAGGGGATTTGTTGCCATTCAAGAAAGGAGCATTTCACCTTGCTGTCCAGGCACAGGTAACAGCCCTTTGCTCCTGCACGAGGCTTTTGTAGTGGCATTGCAGGCTGGGCATGCAGCAGCATGGTTTATTTGCTTTCAAGTGAGCTGTGTTCCCACGGCACAGCTGAGCTTCTCGGCTAAACCACCCCTAAGGTGTCATTAAGAAGCTTAGAGCGCCTTCCATACCCTGTGGGGGTGACTTGAGTGGGCCAGGGGCTGCAGACAGTGGAGAAGCTGCCTTGTCCTATCCCCTGACTGCCCCAGCACTGCATTCCTGGTGTCCCATCTGGAGGGATGGGGACAGGGACACTTTACTCCATGGTCCTGGGTGTTGTGGGCAGCTGCCTGGCACAGTGGCAGTGCTGTGCCTGTGCCCTGCTCCTGGGAAGCACGGCTGCAGCACAGAGCTTTGCTTCTGGTGGGGAGCCCGATGGGTGCTGCACTTTGGGGTTCCCTAGGCAAGCTCTCAAAGCTGTTGATGCATTTCTCAATCCCCCAGGTTGCAGTAGTGTTGCGTTGATTCAGAATTGCTAATGCTAGTGCTTTACAGCAACATCTGGGCTTCCTCTGTGTAGAAATAGCTGCTCCCTCCCAGACAGCCATATGGCACTTCTTGATATGTCTTTAATGCCTTCTCTCTCCAAAATGACAAGATCCGTGAACAGTTAGCAGGGGAGCAGATCAGCAGCTCCTTGACTTTGCACAGGTGGAGCTGTCTGTGCTGCTGAAGGAGTGGTGGTGCCTGCCTGGACAGAGCTTTGGGGCAGTGTCCTAGGGACACTGATGACTTGGGGAATACTGCCTGGGCCCAGGCAGTTGCAGCTGCTGGGGCACCCTGCTCGGCTCCCAGATGCTGGGGACCTGGTACTGGAGAGGTGACTGGGAGGAGATGGGTGCCTTGCTGTCCCGTGCATGCTCTGCCTTGCAGCACAGGACTGGGATGACTCAAGGCCTGAGGGGAAACTGCTTTCCCTAAAAGAGGTGTTACAGTGGGGATGCTGAGGAAGGCATTTGGTGCCAGATCTCTTGCTGGGTGGCCAAGCCCAGTGTGTAGCCTGCATTGTACCGTCCTCGTTCCTGCTGGGGTGATGCAGCCAAGGCAGGGGCTGTCAGGTGCTGGAAGGAAAGGGTGACAGTGAATGTGGCACCCGCCTCTGGTAACACTCCCTGTGAGTCACCGACTGTAGATCATGTCTTTATCAGCACTGAAATAATGGCTCTGTGCCTGCCTTCTGGCTGTGTCTCTGCCTGTCTGAAGCTTCCCTGGGAGCAGCTGGTTGCAACCGGGGACTGCTTTTCTTGAAAGCTGAAGACACAGGAGCTGGCCTGCGCCAAATGTGCTTGTACAGCACAGGAAGGCCTGTCAAAACAGGCACCCTCCAGTGTTTGCAAAACCTGGGTTTTGAAGCCTGGCTTGAGTGGGACAAGAAGCCCTGAAAGCCAGTGCTGACCGTAGGCTGAGGTGTAACTTGGCCCTACTGCCTTCAATGTCCCTGTGCTTTGAGTTGCTGGAGAGTGGTTTTGATCCCATTTGACTGCTGCGTGGGATTCACTGCCTATCTCTGGGCTGCCCTGAGATGCTGCACGTCAAGTAACTCTTCTTCTTCTTCCCCAAGGTCCCAGTAATCCCCGTGGTGTACTCCTCCTTCACCACCTTCTATAACCCGAAAAAGAATCTATTTACATCAGGTATCAAAGAGCCCAAGGGTATTTACGGTCACTCAGAGGCAGAGTTGATGCCATACCCATGTGGAGATCTGGTTCATAAGGGTGTGGGAGGGAAGTGGTGCTGGGGTGAGCAGGAGGAGTCCCTCTGGGAGATGTGTGGAGTCACTTCAAAGCCTGGGCTGAGTTAGCTCAGGAAAGAGTTAATTAAGTAATTAAATACAGAATTAAATTAAATACAGAAGCAGATGGAGGGAGCACCTGGTACAAGTTTTGCCTGGTGTGGCCCTGGAGCTGATCAGGTCCATGGCTGTGGGTAGGGGCAGAGCAGGGACACCACCAGCCTTGGAGAGGGGCAAGCTCTGGCTGGGGTGTAGTTTGGGGTGCCAGGGAAATACCCTGCTGGGTGCAGCTGTGAGAGGGCAAGGTCTAATCCTCAGAGCAGTCTCTTGCCCCCAAGACCAGGGCAGCCTCTGCCTGAAGCCCTGCAAGGGGACGAGGGCTGTGCTGGGGCTGTACAGGGTGGGGGGTGCAGGGGTCCTGGTGCTGCTGTGGTGTGTGGGTTTCTCATAGGCTTTTCTCCTGTTTCCAGGCAAAATCATGGTTGAGGTTCTGCCTCCAATAGACACCAAAGGCCTGACCTCAGACGATGTCTCCGACCTCACTGACAGATGCTTCCACACCATGAGGGAGACCCTCTTCAGGCTGTCAGGCCGTCCAAGCCAGGAGAAGGACTCATCCTAGATGCTTCTCCAGTGGCGTCACCCTGTGGTGGTGGCCGAAGGGACCTCTCTGTTGCCAAATAGCGAAGGAACTTCTCTTTCTCTGCAGTGACTTCTGATGCTGGGAACACCACGGACTGGCACACATGGGCTGTCCAGCCAGCGCTGAGGTTCCCCCTTGAGTGGATTTCTCTTATGGGTTCATTATCTTGCAATGAAACATCTCCTTTTTCTGAATTTCTCAGGCATCAAACTTGTGCTACCAAAGGGCTCGATGACCCGAGAGGTGAGTTCCCCCAGCTCAGGGAGCTGGCGTGGGGTGACAACGAAAACCTGGCTGGAGGCTGGGCTCTGCCTCATGCGGATGTCCCTGCACCCATGTTTATGCAGGCTCAGCTGGTGCTGTCCTGTGCTGTCCCAGATGGAAACCACCAGACAGTTTGTGTTTGCACAGCCTTGATGCTGCTCAAACAGGGCTGGAAATTGGGTGAAAATACAGACTCTGACACTGTGGCAGCACTGGGAGCTCATGGGCAGCCTCTGGGGCAGGGCCTGTCTCCTTGAGAGATGCCCTTGGGTCTTGTGCTTGGGCTTTGTGTTTTCCAGGCACTCCTGAGCCTAATCTTTCACTTCTGAAGAAAGCACCTAGGACCAATAACCTCAGCTGGGCTGCAGAGGGGAATGTGTGGGGCCAGTCGGCCTTAGAGCATCTCTTCAGGCTTGATTGCCTTGTCTGAACAAGCGGCCTTGCTCATTGAGGGATGCAGCGGTAGAGAGGGAAGCTGTGACCTGACCAAGCCAGAAAATACGGTCTGGGAAAAGCCTTGCCAGTGCAGTCATCTTCTGAGCAAAACCCCTCACCTGTTTCTACCATTCTGAACCACCAGCTTGATTTTAAAAACTGCACCGATCTGTCAGAGTCATGGGCAAACCTGTCCTCACGTGCAACTTGTCTGTGGCACACCTCTGGATGCTGTGTGTGACACAGCTCAGACATGTATGTGACGTGTGTGACGTGGCTCAGAGCTTCCGTGCTGCCAGCTCCCTGCCGTGATGGTGGTTCAGCCTGATTGGTGCCTGTGGTACTTGTTGCAGATGCAAAAGGCTCTGTCATGCTCATTCTGTCACTTGTCATGGTCAGCAGTGGCCAAAAGATGGTGCCTCTTCCGCGTGTCTTTGCTGATCTCAGTAGAGCTGCTGCTCTGCACGGCTTGTAAAGCTCCTGCAGAGCTGCAGGGTGGGTGAGCTGCAACTGCAATGGGGCTCGGAAGGCTTCAGCTCTCCCTTTTTGAGGAGATAGGCTTCTCCCCCCATTCAGATAGAGGGGTTTCCCCTCTCCTGGGCGGTGAGGGACCAGCAGGATCCTGGATCCCTTCCTGGGGGCTGCAGAAGTGTTGATGCCCTCTGCGAAGAGCAAGGCTGGCTCAGGTGCATGGTTCCAGGGGTAACCTTGACCCCTAACATGGGCTCAGGGAGGTTTTGGCTTTCCTGTTCATGGTGCAGGGTGTATGGCCTTGAGATAAATCTCCTGGGGCTACTCAGGTAACCAGCGCAGGTGGCTTCTGCAGGCTGCCTGGCTCTGCTTTGGTGACATTGCAATCATGTGGCATTTTGGGGTTAAAACCTCAGCTGGGAAAAGCAGGGGGTTCCCACAGAGCCAGTGGGGAGCCCTCGGGCTGAGCTGCTGCTGCTGGGGGCTGGGGTGGGCTTTATCAGAGGGGCCTTAAAAGTACAGACTCAGGGGTCAGACCCGTGGTGGGCTGGGTCGGGGTGGGAGGATGGGAACCAAACCAGCACTTTGTAGGAGCAGCAGATCAAGGGCTGTCATGGAGGTTAAGCCCAGGAGGGTCCTGGGGGGGAAAAAAACCACATCTGTGGAGTGACCCCTGCAGCATCCTCCTGTGGGAGGAGGGAGTGGTGCCTCTGTGTGCAGTTGTCTGCTGTTCACTTTTAATTTGGTTGAGAATAATATTATGTGCTTTAAAAACACCAACAACAAAGTACACCTTTGGTTATTTAAATAAAGGAGACTCCTGGTCTTGTGTGGGAGCTGGGGGAGGAGGGCGGCTGTGGGGGGGAGAGGGGTGCTGACCCCTCAGCTTTTGCAGGAAGCGGGTTTGATGATCACAGAAATCATTCAGGTTGGAAGAGGCCTCTAAGATCATCAAGTCCAACTGTCGAGAACAAGCAGGGCCCTGGAGCAACCACTTTCCCAGCCAATAACAACCCCACAACCTCGGTGTCCGCAGCAGGAGGCTTTATTTTGGTACAACAGATTTTGGCAGCACCCTGTTGCCCATGTGACACACGTAGCTCTGCTCTGGGCAAGCAGGAAGGCGTTGTATCAGGTCGGTCACATCTGCTCTGCTGTGCTGGTGGCCTTGGGCTTGAGCAAACAGTGCAGGGGAGGTAGGTGGGTGTGCTGGGGGCTGCTGCATCCAGGAGAGGGCGGCAGCCCTGACTGCTGGTGCTTGGGCCAGTGTAAACCCCTGGGTGTGCCAGGCTCTGGTCCCCAGTCCGGGCATGCAGAGGACTGTCCCTCCCTGGCCTCGCCCCGTTGGCACAGGTTTGTCTCTGCTCTGTGCTGATGATGGGAGTGTGGCAGGGAAAGGTTTTTTATTAAAGCAAATGAAAACAGTCTCTGTGCACCTCCAAGCCTGTGTAAAAGCTTCATCCTTGGTACTGCCCTGTAGGGCCCAAGGATGGTGCAGAGGGCTGCGAGCAGGAGCAGGGAATTTCAGAGCAAGCTGCTGCAGCTGCCATGCTAAGAAGCAGTGAGGAGCCAGCACTATAATTTGTGGAGGGGGCCTGGTCCCAAAGAGCAGAACAGAAGCTGCAGGGATGGGCACCTGCTCCCTGCACCCAGCCAGCGCAGTACCTTTGTAGGGACCTGCTGCACCCATCCCCTGCTGTGATGCCTGGCTTGGGGCTTGCCCTCTCCACCACAATTTTTGGCCGTAGTCCTCCAAAATGCAGGACTTTCCCCCACCTTCTTTGGGTGGGAGCATGGGGGGCAGCTGTTCTGCCTAGGCCAGGTCTGTGCTTTTTTTAGGAGATGATGTCCCAGGGTAATGCTAAGGAAAAGGCAGGCAAAGCCAAGCACCATGTGGCTTCACGTACAGCCGGGCTCCCTGGCACAGCCAGACAGGCACTAACGGCATGAGGTAAGGCGTTTATTTTGCCTAAATAAAAAGGCATTTATTCTGAGGGCTCGGAGTCCAGTTTGGAAGTAACTGCACGACCTTTGATCAGGGGAGTTGGGAGAGAAAAATGAAGGAGATGCTGATGGGAAAGCAGCATTCTCCTGCTACCCTGTGCCTTCCTGTAAGTGGTGTAGCTTCATCCTCACCCTGGGGCTGGAGAGGGAGATGAGAGCTACAGATGCGCTCTGCTTGCTTCAGTTCCTCTGCTAGAGTTCATTCTTGCAGGAACCTGAGAAAATGAAAAAAAACAACAATCCAGCTTGGGTTTGGTTTGTCTCTTTCCCCAAGAAGGATGATGTTGACCCCAATCTCTGTGAATGTCACCCCTACTTGCTGTATTCCCTTTACCAAACACCCCCCAGCCTCTCCATGCGATGCTCTGCGAGCCCCATTGCTTGCTGGATCATGAAAGGACCATCCTGTGTCCTCCAAGGACTTTCAACACCACAAGAGGGACAAAAACAGGTTTTGCTTGCCGGAACAGGCTTGGCAGAAGCTAATTTCAGGACTTTGGAGTCATCCCTTGGAATAAATCCATGCTACCTTGTGATACTGCTCACATTCCTCAGTGCTGCCTCTAATACGTACAGGTCTGCTGGAATACACCGATGATTACCCCTTTCTGAGATGTTTTCTAAGTGTCTATTTGCAGCTACTTAGTCTTCAAACAACTTCTTTGAAGTCTTTTGTATCTAAGCCATTACTGCAAGCACTGAACTGAGACTGGATATGCCCTGAAACACCAAAGCCTATCCCTGCTGCACACCAGCTCCTGAGCCGCCCCAACCACGCCTCCTTTCTGGGTGTGTTTGGAATGATTTAATGGGAAAAGGAGCTGCAAAGAGCTGCCTATCAAAATTAGGTGTTCATGTGATTTCACACACAGCAGCTCTCACCAGTGTTTCTCACTACGGTTTCTACTTTGGAGACCAGACCCTCCTTGGTCCACTGCTTGGCAAAGGATTGGTCTGTAGACTTCAAAAAGAAATGCATAAAACATCCCAGGCTCATAAATCTGCCAAATTCTGCACGCTCCCTAAACCTTCCTGATGGACTTTTTGGGCTGTTAATTTCCTAAGAGTTGGTGTTTCTTTTCTAAGGAGTGGGTTATAACGGTACGGAAGGGGAACGCAGCCAGTGAGGGTGCTGATTGCGAGCCACGACCCACTGCTCATTGTGGGCTTCCTCTGCTTCTGCCCCAGAGCCACGTTTCCACGTGCCAATGTTACAATTTTTGGCTGCTATAAGGGCAGTCAGACGGTGCAGTCATAGAAACAGCTTCGAAATGAAGCTAATCGGCTGTTTGCATTCATCTTTTATTAATTACAGGCTGCTGAGCTTGAGGGAGATACAGATTAATACTGGCATATGTGTTACTGATCTCGCTGGCCTCCAGCTGCTCGCTATGGCCAGGGTAGGGGGAGTGAAACACTTCAACCCTGCTTTTTTCCAGACACTTACACGTCTCCAGCCGCTCCTCCAGGAAGGAGATCTGCTCGCTCAAGGAGTCGATCCTGTCCAGTTGCTGGAGGGAGTGGGACAGCCGGCTGATGGGGTCAGCGCCGACGTCCTCCGGCACGGATGTCATGAGGCTGTGGAAGGGGGCCAGCACCAACTGGAGTTTCTGCAGGGAGAAGGGAAGCTGTGACCGTGTCCTCACCAGCCACGAGGACCAACAGGGCTTTGGTTGTGTTCAAAGTGCCGCTGGGCTGGAGGAGCGGCTGCATGGGCACTGCCGGCAGCGTGGAGCACAGCTGGGATTGCTGTGGCACTAAAAATAGAGCTGGGGCAGAGGGAAACCCTGGCTGCAAACAGCCCGGGGTGGGAGCTGGCTGAGCGTGGCTTTGAGCTGTGACAGGGCAGGGCAGAGGTGTGTGCTGAAAGCTCACCTGCTCCAGCGCTTCCACTCTGCTCTTCAACTCGCTCATTTCTTCCTTCATTTCACTGGGGGCACCTGAAAAAGCGACCAAGAAAATGTCAGTAAAAGCCCATTGCCCAAGGTAAAGCGGGAGGTGCTGGGGAGAGACATTGCTGCAGGGCTCAGGCCAAGCTCTGCTGCTTTCCACTCCCCTCCTAGAGAGCCGCAGGGTTCTGCCCCACTGGGACCAGCCCTGGAGCATCAACTGGATCCAACGACCTGCTGCCAGCACTGGCATTGAGTCCTGCCTCTAACGCACATGAGCCTCTCCTTGCTGCTGGAGTACCTGCAACAAAGTGGAGGACTTCTTCAGGCAGTGGATGATGCTTAAAGGACAAGATGTCCAGCGAAGCCTGGCCTTTTGTGCCCATGTTGTCAGATTAACTAGCACCTGGGTCTGCCCTGTCCCGTGGTGGGCACAAAGGATCGTTTCTGCAGAGGATAAAGGCATGTGGCTTGCAGAGCATGTGGAGACGGTGCCATCCTCTCCCAGGTGTTTACTGCATGATGCCTGTGCTGGCCACAGCGCATTATTACTCACGGTACGAGTTTGAAGTGTCACAGCGCGTACCAAAAGTAATAATGGGCTGTCACCAGCGACGCCTGCTGCTCCTCGTGGCTCTGGACTTGCCCTGCAGGAAGGACGACGACGATGATGATGGAGAGAACAGCCACATCTCAGCTACTGCACGTTGGGGATGGGCTCTGTCACCCCTGCAGATGGAGCAGGGGCTGGATTTGTGCATGAGGAGGTGGTTTGAGTGGTAGAGAGACTCCCTGGTCACTGGGAATAAAGGTGAGGGGTTCTGGCTGTCATCCCCTCTCCTGTCTCTTGCCAGTCCTGCTCCAGCCACCCTGCAATGCTGAGTGTTAAACCCAGCCTTTGTCGGATGCCCCCAGCAGCCGGATCTGTCCTGTGATAGGGGACAAGATTACCTGCTTGGCTGAAGGTTTCTGGCTCAGGGGCTGGCACCAGGGGCTGGCACTCCTTGTCATCGTCAGCAAGGCTGAAGCCATCCCGGCAGGCACAGTGATAGCTCCCGGCCGTGTTAACACAGAGTTGGTTGCATCCATGGCTCTGGCTGGTGCATTCATCCACGTCTGAAAGCACAGATATGGCTCAGTGAGGCTGGGGAAGAGGTGAGGGCAAAGGGAGCACTGGGGATGCGATGGGACCCCAGACCGAGACAGTGTTTGACAGCCTTTCCTCTTGCACCCAGCTGGAGTAAACCTGGGCTAACTCTGAGGGGGATCTGGCCTCCTCCCCTCCACCCGCTCCACCCCAAAACAAGAGCCAGAAACAAAAGCTGTAGGCAGAAACATCCCCGCTATGGCCGGGAGGGCGCAGGCAGCTCTAGGCTCTCATCCTGGATTTACGGCCGGGGTTTTGGTTCCAGCCAGCCGTGGCGAGGAGCTATCAGCCTTTCAAGTGTGTACAAAACCCAGTAACCTCTCCTCACAAGAGGGGAGTTATTAAAGCTGTTCCCACAATGCAAGATGAGCTGAACTGCTTCCCACGCCCGGGTGAATCTGTTCTAGGCAGTGGGAAAATCCTTTCCCTCCTATGCTGGAGCCAGAGCTGTCAGCGATGTGCTCAGCCCTGCCTGGCCCAGCACAGGTCAAGGCCTCATGCTCCTCCTCGGTCTTATGAGAGGGCAGAAAGCTGGGGAACGCTGCAGCAGGGGTTTGCCCCACCATGCTGGGATATGCAGAGCACTGCTGCCCTCCGTGCTGCCCAATTTCCTGAGGAGCATCAGGCTGCTCCCATGCTGGAGAGGAGCCTCCACCCCCAGGTATTTTCAGTTTACAGATTTAGTTTCTGCAGTAAATGGGTGCCTTAGTTTACAGCAAGAGTTTGCAACGCCTGGGACATGGGTCATTACAAATACACGATCTCTGTCCAACCCCACGAGTGTCACAGCTGCTCTGCAGAAGGCCCTTTGCTGGCTTCACAGAAAGAAAATGTGGATGCACGTGAGGGCTGGGAGCAGTGACGCAGCCAAAGGGAAGGTCACAGCTCCCCTGGGAGCTGAGCTTCCCATCATTTTCTGGCCAAACCATCAGGCATCACTGCCCTGGAGCAATCACTGGTTCCCTTCTGTGATCTGAGCAACACCAAGCATGTGGTGATGAGCTTGGTGCTGGCTTCCATCTCCCACCAAAGGGTTGGTCTGTGGGCAGAGGACCTCCAGAGCCCCCAGAGAAGTTCTCCCAGTATCAGTGTGACTGGTACCTGTCTGGCAGGCTGGCCCCGTCCAGCCGGGCATGCAGGCACATCTGCCAGGGAAGGTGCAGGTCCCACCATTTTGGCACGGCACCCAGCAAAGAGCTGCAAGACAGAACACAAGCACAGCATCACCAGGCAGCTCTGGGAGTGCTGGCTCCCTCCCCTGCTACTGTGGGTGCGTGGGATGGACAGGACCTTGGTTTTGCAGCCTGGGAAGAAGCCAAGGCCCCGCAGGGCAAAGAGCTGATGGGCAGCAGCAGGCCCTGGGACATGCCCAGTGCTGTACTCTAAGCTCATTTGGGGACAGACTAACTGCTGATGTTTTGCATTTGTTTTGCACTGTACATCATGATTGCCTCCTGAAAGCATTTCTCTTCCATTACTGTTGATTTATATGGAAAGGACTTACTCATTTTATTTATCCTCTGGTAACTATAAAGCTAATAAGTGATCCCAAAGGGAAAAGGTCTGTGAGGCAGCAAGAGAAAGGCTGGGAATTAATCAGAAATTGAACCGCATTTGTTTGTGATGCCAGAAACTTAAATGCTTTCCTACAGGGGAAATGTGCTTGACAGGCAGATTGCTGGTAAATGAGGGAGTTGACTGACAGGGCCTCATCCAGGGACCTGAGCTACCAGCAGTCTAGGGGAATGGGGAAAATGCTGGCATTGGAGTTGGATGGCAGCCTCTTACCTCTGTCACAGCTGAGCGCGTGGCTGTTAGCCCTGCTCCAGCCGGGACAGCACGAGGCCGCGGGCTGGGGCAGTTGCCTGTACGCCTGCCGGTAGGCAACCTTGTAGATGGTCCTGCAATGCAAAGATGGGGCTGAGCCGGGTGGCTGAGCATCCGCCCCAAGCCCCCCCATCCCACTCCCATGCCACTGGGTCAGACCCCTGCACTGGCACCCTCTGCCCATGAGCCCCTTCCCCACGGATCAGGGCAGGACTCCCCCTTTCATGGCCTCGCTGAGATGGATCCGGCTCCCTCCCAGGGGCCAGGTCCATGGTGGTGCAGGCGGCTGTCCTCACCTGTAGGTGCTGCAGAGGCGGTGGCCCTGGCAGGTGGTGAGGTAGGGCTGGTAGACGGGCTGGACGTGGGACTCGGTGAAGGCGACCGTCTGGCTCCGTGGTGCCATGGCACAGACTCTGCGGCTGCAGAAAAAGGAGCAGGTCAGACCCCGGCTAAAAACCAACCCGCTGCTTCAGGGCAAAGGGGCTCCACTGACTTACACCAGCCCAGGATGCAGCCTGACAGCCCGTCTGTACAGAGGGCTCTTTAAATGGCAGAGGCTAATTGCCCAAGTGACCCAGGAGGTCACATCAAGCTGTTTCAGGACAGCAACACAAAGCTGGAGCACTGCGGGCTGCACAGGCCCTTCCTCCCCAGCCCCTGCACGAAGGCGCTGATGTCTCCTCGTGCACTCACCCCGGCTCAGTCCCTCCATCCCAGGAGAGCCGCAGAGCCCAGATTTAGGGGGATTTACTCAAAGCAGTTCTCCTTCCATTCATCGCCTCCCTTCCCCTAAAATCACTCACTTTTCCTTTCTGAGACTTTTGTACTCCTGAAACGGATGCCCCTGCGTTCACCAAGAAATTAATGATTTCAGTGCAAGGGTCAGGCTCACCGCAAAAAGGTAAAGGCCAGAGGGAAGTCACCCTCCAGTCTCTCTAAGATAACTATGATTCAGCCAAAAACTTTCTCAAGGTTAACAGCCAAAGTGGTCTTGGTTAAAAATTCCTTTTTTTCAACATTTTCCAGCCCAAGCAGGTCAGTCCCACTGAGGAACTCATCTGCCTGTCTCAGCCTCCCAGCCCAATTAGAAAACTAGAATAAAAAGCCTGGGAATTAGCATGGACATCAGATGGCTTTCATTAACTCCAGAAAACTCCTTTCAGCCGCTCTGATTAATGCTATAGAAGATGACATTTTTAAACAGCAATTGTTTGCTTTGCAAAATTCAGAATAAAGCCATGGCTGCAGCCTGTGCGTGCGAGTGAGGAATTCAGCCTGTGGTTTTATGTCCAACCAGGATGCGAAATGTTTAATGCTAGAGGAGAGTATTTCAATGTTAAAACAAACTTTGTAGAAAACATGAGCTATATCTGGGGGGAGAGCATTGAGCTCGAGCTCTTTTTGGCTGGGAAGAAACTGGGGCACTGAGCTCAGGGCTTGCCCTGACCCAGCGGGAGCCGAGCTGTGCCTGCCCAGGCTGTGCTGGGATCCAGGGCGCCGTGTTGGACCCATTTCCCAGAAAGGGAATGGGAATCACCGGAGCTGCCACCCCCGGGCTTGCAGGACCATGGTCTGCAGCATCCCAGGGAGCACAGGGGCCCTGGCTGCCCCATGAGGACTTGGCAGAGCCTTTTCCCATCTCCTCACCAGCCCAGTGAGCTGCCTGTGCCTCTCCATCACCCAGAGAGGATGCTCCTCGCCATGGGCACACCTGGAAGATGCAGACAAAAAGGGGCCTTACCCTGCCCGGGCAAAGCCATCCGTGCTGCTGACGCTGAGGATGAAGAGGAGTCCTGAGAGGAGGCAGCCGCTGCGGCGCATGTCCTGTCCCTCCTGCGGCACCCCGGGCTGTGTGGCACGACCGAGTCTCGCTCTGTGGTGGGCAGCACTGGCTCCTACCACATGTCTTGTCCTTCAGCGGGGAACCCTGCAACCAAGAGAAGAGCAGTGTGAACATGAGGCGTCCATCCCCAGCCGGTGACATCTGAGAGCCATGGGGATGGGGCCAGCCCCCACTCCTGGGGTCAGAGGGACAACGCTGGGTGTGCATGGATCCTCCGAGGGCAGCGCAAGGGGATGGGGCACACTTGATGCCAACAGAGCAGCATGACAAGAGGGGGCACGAGGAACCCAGGTACCCCTCGAAAGGTGGGAGCTTCTCTGGGTGCAAACCTGCTTTGCCCCACTCGAGTCACTGGTGCAGCAGGTATTTACCCTCTGCTGGACTGGTCCAACACCCAGGAGATGCTCTGGTGGCAGCAAGATGCAGGGAAGGGACCTGTGTCATGTGAAACACGCTACCCATCCCAGGGCAAAACAATGGCCCATAATTTCTTAATCCATACGGCATTGTAAAGCTGCATTTTCCCACCACATAACACATTGAAATCTGATCTTCTCTTTAAAATACAAGTCTTTGCCAGAGAAAAGTGCTGTAAGGGCCATATGTACCGTCTGCGGAGTCGGTGCTAACCGAGTCACGAATGAAGAGCCTTTGATTTTCTAGCAGAGGACAAATATGAAACAAGGCTGGAGCAGGTCAATAACAATATCTAATTTAAACAATATCTACTTCAAACAAAACAGCCTCTGGATGGCAGCAGTTAAAGGAGGAAGAAATAAAGAAACCCACTTTAAACATATACCAAGTAAAGAAAGAATCACTCTTTCTGATTAAACCTTGAGAAAGAAGTGCCCCCCTTTACGGGAAGGCAACACAAAATGAAACATCCTTCTGAAACTGCAAATAGGACGAGCTGCAAATAAAATTTCTAAAATCCCCAAGTGCTGTGGGATTGATGATTGCAGGTTCATCCCCGAACTCCTTCACAACTATTCCTTACTCTCAGTCAAGCTGTTAGGCATAACCAGGCCAAATCTGTAGACCCTGCAGGTCAGCCTATAAAATCGGTATCAGTTTATAGCTATAAAAATGCAATTTCATGACTGACCTCACTCAGTCCCCGAATTCCTCGATGCTGTGGAAGCTGAGGGTCTGGCCCCAGACAGGAAGGGATGGCACCCACCCTGCTCCTACAGCCACACGAGTGATGCCCATGGAGCTGCAGCCCAGGAGGGAACTGCAGATGCCCAGGCCTGTCCTGACCTCCGCACAAACCCAGTTTTGAGAATGGAAGGAGGATTTTGGTGATATAAAGCCTGCAGTCCTTCATTTTCCTTCAAATGAAGCTACAAATTTCATCTTCTAATGATTAATAAGTGAAACCTCCACCACAAGGAAATCAAATCCTGGTTGACCTGCAGGAATTTTTTTTCTTTAAATAGTGAAGAAATCTTCTTTCTCCGCAGTCCTTCTGGAGATATCCCAGGCACATGACCATATAGAGATGTACTAACTACCCAGCTGGCTTTTCCCAGGGCTATACTGGGACACATATTTTCCTTACAATCACAGATCCCCGGACTAGCGGTGCTTCTCCAGAAGTCTCTAAGTCAAACTCTGCCAACCATTGCCATCCTCCCACAGGATTCCTGCGACTGCTGTGGGAGCTTTCCCTGTGGGGAAGGCAAGAAATGCAGGGCACAAGCCTAAAATATAGACAGTTTGTTTTTTCTCTTTGAAATGGAGCAGCATTGCCCTACTCAAGTGGTCAGAGTGTCCCTCTGGGTCATAAACTGCTTCATACCAGAAAAAATGTCAAAAGTGGAAAATATGATCATCTGTACTTGTCTTTTTTTATGAGTTTATGAATGTCAGCCTCTTTAAAGCTGCTGCAGATCCTCCAACCTGTTGCCACTGCCTATTTTAATAATCCTTATTTAAAGCACGTAACTTAAGGAAAATCATTCTGTGCTCAAGTAAAGAAAACACAGAGTTTTTTGTCACTGCCTTTCTCATCTCTCAGATGAAGAAATGAATCCCCATGGTCTGGCAAGGGAAACTACATGGGTGCAACTGAGCTTCTGCTGTTTCAGGGGTCCTGGGAGTCTGGGGGACCCTCTCCCACCATCCAGCAATGCTCCTGTAACTCTTCCAAGTCTGCTTTTGCCTAACCCACTGCAGCAACCAACAGGTTGGTTATACATAGACAACCTAGAGCTTTGTCCAGCTCTGCCCGTGAAACCAAGGCTAAAACTCCAGCTGACAGCAGCAGCAGCAATCAGGGACTGTCTGCAAAGCGGTGCAAGTGAATCCAGTTCCTCAAGAGGATGCAATTAGGAGAACACAACAGCTACGCTTTTTTCAAGCAGCCTGGCCTAGTTCTGCAGGTGAAACCGCTGCTCCCAGCTGTGCGCTGGACCTGCTCTGTGCCCGCAGAGCCAAACCCTCATGGAGAGGAGCAGCAGCAGCAGCAGGAAGACGGATTCTCCCCCACAAAAGCTGCTCTCTGCGCAGGCTGGGACGCAGGCACCGCGGAGCGCAGGCACGGGGATGCGGAGCGCGATGGAAAGAGGCATGGGGACGCGGGGACGGCGGAGGAGGGCACAGAGAGACGAACACCGCGGAGCAGGGGTACGGCACCGTGCAGCAGGGCGCAGGGACGGGCTGCAGGGACGGCGGAGCGGGGCGCAGGGATGCTCACCCCGGCCCGCAGCAGGCCGAGCCCCGCTCCCCCCGGCGCTGCACCTCCCGGGCAGG